CAGTGTTTTGATTATGCCTTTTTTTTCTTGTGGGTGTTGGTTGGAGTTTTTGTATAGGTACTGATCTGTGTGGGTGGGTTTTCTGTAGAACTTGTGTCCCAATAGGAGTTCAGGTTTTCATACGACCATGATATCTAAGAAAGGGAGTTGGCCCTGTATTTCTTTTTCCATGGTGAATTGTATATTTGGGTGGATGCTACTGAGATGGTTTAGAAATTCTCAAATAGATAAATAACACCTCCACAATGCTCTCAGTGTGCAAAGGTTTTGAATAAATAATGTGGAGAGCGACAATTAGGATTTAGTATAATTCCATTTGTCATGAGAAGCAAGATGTTTGTGGATGCATGCCTGCAAGAATCTCTGGATGCTGCCAAGCATTCTGCTATATTATATTCTATACCTGTACTGGAAAAAGTTTTTAAAAAGTTTACTTGGGGACATCACTGGGATAAGAATTAAACATGCTCTTGACCTCTGTAATCTCAACAACCTTGGATACTTATCAGCAGTCCTATTTTTATCTCATTTTTTTCCATCCTGGGTCTGATTGACCATTCTCAATGAGGGGTAGATAAATGCATCCCTCTACATATTCTTGTACTGCTATTTTCATCAACCCTAACTAATATAGCCAATGATGAAGAATGTTGGGTATTTGGAAGTTGACTCGTGGCAACTGGACCTCTTTCTTATTAGGTTGAAATGTTTTACTACTCAACCAAGTAGTTTCTTCTGTCTGAGAAGAGTTGGTAGGAGACCCCTGATATATCCTCCAGGTTGGTTTCACTTCTCCCCTGTTCTGAATAGGCTTGTTAGATGGACAAAGGATGGGAGGGGGGTGAATGAAAATTCCACCTCTGCAGTCCTTCACCACCGTCATGGGTTGTTAACAGTGGTCTTTCTGGTTTGTTGTGGTCCTGATCTTGCTGGAGATGGACGAAAGGGCAGCATGATAAGTAGGATCTGAATGACTGAGAATCTTCACAGATTTTGGGTATTGTATTCCAGTGGCAGCTGGGAGGTTGCTCCACTATGCTCTAGAACTGAAAGCGTGATATAACATTGGGAACAGGCATTCTATGTAAACATAGTCTTTGATCTAAAAAACTAACCAACCAACTCACATTTCTAGCTCTAAAGGCAAAGATGAGGAATGTGTGGTCCTCCAGCTATTGATAGGCTATAGACTGCAAATCATCTTTTATCATTGGCTGTGCTCTCACTATGCTGCCACAAGGCTTTAAGGATTGATAGTGACTGTATTTGCTTTTCATAGCGAGCCAGAAGTGATTTGTCCAAAACCCTTGGAAGATATAAGTTACAACATGTAAGTGAAATGCAATTATGTAATTAATTAATTCCTTTTATGGATAACTGAGACATAGCTGTATTGATATTGTAATGTAATGAAGGATAACTTCATTATTTCATGATATAGATATTAATGGCGCCCTCCTCAGTTTTATATTTTATAATTACAGTAGTTTTGTGGTCTCACTTCTAGTGTTCTGGTTTTTTTGAGGAAAAATGCTTATTTCAGTTACTTCTGAATAATGAGAAAGTAAATAATTATTTTCTAAAAGTGCAACTATAATAACAAACAACTAAATTTGTGGACTTTGGAAAAGTCGCTAAGTATTTGTTGAAAATCTCTTCCTAGATTTTAGGTTTGTTGAAATTTGCTAAGATGTTGTTTTTGTTAAGCAACCATAAACTACAGTTGGAACTCTAGGATTGTTGTTGGCTTATGAACTCTAGTTTGTTGCAATGTCTAAAACTCACAACTGTGTTTTCTTCCATGCTTGTTTCCCTAACTGCCTGCCCTAAAATAGGAGCTGGAAGAGAAACAAAAAATAAGCAAGCCAGAAATAGAAAACATGTCATGGATTGTTTGATTGTGTATAGTGTAATTCATGGTTTCCCACCTGTCAATTCCTGAATTCTGTTTTTCTGTTCTTTCATTCCCCATCTAGTATTGTTTAAATGTTTTATGATTATGATTGTTATGATTATGATTGTGATGTTTTTATTGTATATAATGATATTTTATGATTTTGTAAGCCACTCCGAGTAGACGTTGTCAAAAGGGGTGGGGTGGGGTATAAATCGAATAAATAAATAAATAAATAAAATGGTTTAAGCAGCAAACGATAGTTAAGACAAAATCATGGCTTATTATGATATGCAAAAGAACCTTGCTGAATTTGTAAACTGCCCAGAGTAGCCTTGGATGGGTGGTATACAAATAAAACAAAACAAAACAAACAAGGAAACAAACTTGTTAGGTTAGTCATGTGTGGTGAAAATTCAGAAATGGTGAAACTGTGTAGGGCTACCAATGAGCAATTTTATTCTTCTTTGTAGCTCCATACTTTGCCTTATTAGTGACTGGAAAATTCTTATCTGGCCAAATCTATGTGACTCTGAAACAAGACATTTCTCAAAATGTGAAAAACTATGTGTTTTATTTTTGAAGTTCATATAATTCAGATGCTGCTGACTTTCTTCTCCGGGTAAAGGTATTTGAGCTGCTCAAATCCTTCCCCACCAGTTTTCAATGTGCTTAATCCCTTCCTTATTGTTATAAATTATATTTATCACACCACCCGGTAAATATGATTTGAAGGGAGGTGGCTTTGGGTGGGAGAGGGGGCAGGTTGGAAAGAGGTTTGTGGTTTAGGTGCAAGCTGGTCCTTTGATTCTCTGGCTTATGAATGTCAATCCAAGAACTTTGTTTTGTTCTCAACTCTTCTGTGGAACAACTAGTTGGAAAGCAGAAATGTTGGGGGGTTTTTTTTGGACTTTAATTCCCAGAATGCCACAGCCATAAGGGGCTATGCTGGCTGGAATATTCTGGGAGCTGAAGTTCAAGAAATTAACTTTTCCAGTCTCTGGACAAGCTTCACAAATGTTCCTTTTCCAAAACTCATGTTGCTGGAATGTCCACTCCTCATAAACTTGGAAACCATAATAATGTTTGTAAAATAAGCCATGTAATTTACATAAATTATGTGGATTTTGATAGGAGTCTTCTTGGGAGGAGAATTTGGATTATCTCAGTGCAGAGGTTCCATTGTTTAACACAGAATATAAATAGACCTGGTTATGTGGCTACAGCATCTACTAGGGCTAAAGAGCTCCCAACAGCTGTATTGTAGAAGTGGGTGTTTTACAACCTGCATTTCTACAATTTGTGATTTTGGAGGAAGACAGTGTTTTAGAGACTTGACCATTTCACTTGATGAACATACAGTAGCCATGTTGTTTGGCTCACTTCAATCCCTGGTCAAACAGGTTCTTCATATTTTCAAACCACAAGTCTGTAATGCTGGTCTGCTTCCATCCGGCAAAGCGTAGGATTGTTTATGCTCTCATATTGACCTTGATCATAATAAAGACAGGAGTGTGTTATTGCTGAAAATGAACAAAGTGTCATTACATATACATGTGTTATGAGAACCACACAAACAAAAAGGTTGTATTGCAGAGTTCTCCATCTTCAAGATTCCAGCCATTCAATTCTATTCCTACCATCAACTTCCAGTTCCTCCTACTAAGTCGGGATCCTTTTGCAGCCACTGAGCATGCCCAGTCCTCACTATAGCCTCTCTCTGAGTATTTCTTCCACCAAAAATGTGTATTCCACTAAACCCAGTAACACCTTCCTTTTTTGGAGGGTACAAAAGCAACAGCACCCCAAATGTTGAAAACAGGAGGAGTCATCAGATATTCATCCTGCCATTGTTTTCGGGACCCTATGACAGTAAATGGGATTTCTCATCCACATGTTTCTCCTCAATCGTGTGGAGGCTGAGAGACAGCATCTGGCTCAAAGTCACCAGTGAATGTTTTGTGACTTGAATGAGCATTTGAACAAATCAAAAGAAGCATTTGACTTTAAATCTCCTCAGCTTTAGCTCGCTATTCTAACCATTGCAAACACTGAAATGCTTATATAAAATCCTCTCCATTGTTTCCTGTATGAAAAAGAATTTCCAGGGTTTCCTTGACTCTCAATAGTTTGAAAACCTGGGGAGAGAAGAAAATGGCTTCTCATGGGTAATGTAAAGACTAAGCTAGAAAACTAGTAAACCAAATATACAGACTTGTTAGCCCTACCTTTTGGATAACCGCATCAAGTTAGTCTCCCAGTTATTTTTATCTGAGGTGTTAGTATAGGAATGTTAGTGATTATTTTCATGTTTTAATATTTTGAATCCATCCATCCATCCATCCATCCATCCATCCATCCATCCATCCATCCATCCATCCATCCATCCATCCATCCATCCATCCATCCATCCATCCAATGTTCAGGCTGACCAGGGTGTTTACCTGAGGACAGTTTATTATTTAGACCTTTGTTCTAGATAGGCCTTTGGTCTAGATGGGCGGGGGAGAAGTTTAATAAATAAATAAATAAAATCTGATCTGTACATCTATAACAAGATTAAACAAAATTGGTTCTAGATTGTGCCGTTGTGGTTGCAAATGGGGGAATCACATGTTTGATTGTGCGCATTAGAATAGAATAGAATAGAATAGAATAACATGTCTGCAATACAGAAATTTAGCACTATATTCTATCTCATATACTAGTTTTCTCAGGGCAGAGTCTAAATTTTTGTGGAAGCAGGTTTGTACCTGGAATCCTGCACTTGCAGGACTTCAGAAAAACACAAGATGCTTCTGAAATAAATGCAAACTGGCTGTTAGACTTTGAACATTTGGCTAGTTTATATGTACATACTATAGGAGAAAACAGAGATTTAGAACTAGACATACCTAATCCCAATCAACCTCAAAGTACTGGAGAGAGAATTAAGAAGGCAATTTGAATCTCTTTCCCGATGGCATTGCTTCTGCTGTTTTACAGTTCTACTTGATCATTATTCCTTTTGTGTGTTTGCAAAAGCAATTGTACTTCTTGTACTGCTGGCATGTTATATGGCTTTTACATCATTGACCAACTTTTCCATGTTGCTTTCCCTCCCCAGGGACTCCTGTTTGGTTCTTTGTGAAAATTGCTCCAATTCGAAATGAACAGGACAAAGTTGTTTTGTTTCTTTGCACTTTCAGTGACATAACAGCTTTCAAGCAGCCTATTGAGGATGACTCATGCAAAGGTTGGTTCGCATTTTTGGTGCTTTATCAATGCATATTAAAATCATATATTTTGTATTTCATAAGTTTAGTTTATGCACTCAATTAACAAGTTACTTTCACCATGAGAATTGTTCCTAATAGCCAGAATGAAGTAAGTGCAAGAGATTTTTTCTTGTTAAAAGTTGTAAAACCATAAGAATAATAGGAGCATTCCTGGATCAGGCCAAATGCCTGTCTTGTCAAGCATCAACTGCTAGCCACATAAAACAAGTCAAGTAAAATGAGAACATGGATAGCAACTATGGGCATGTAATATCCAGAGATCTGGAGACAGGGTTCACCTCAGATGTGAAAAGGTCCCTATGTCTTAATTCTTTGAAAGGTTTATCTCAACATGAAAGGACTCAGAGTCACTTCCAGTATGGAAAAACAACCACATGGCTCTAACTCGGGTCTGGGAATCCCACAAATCATGATGAAATTGTCCTCTATAAAGCCAATAGGAGGCACATTTTGTCAACTCCTGATGAGGAGAGTTTGTATCAAATAGAGCAACAAGTGATGGGAGGTGCATCCTTGTAGGAATTTGTTCCTTCTCAGCCTCATGTTTATCTCATAAGATTGTGTTTGTTACTAATGATTCTTAAATTTACAAATCACTTCCTAGAGAAAACTCTCAAAGGTCTTACAATGAAATATGATTTAAGAACTAATTTCAGATTTATTGATGGCAGCAAGATTAATGGTGGCAAGGAATTGGAAAGTTAAGTACAGTTTTCAATTAGAGGAATGGTATAAATAAGTTTGGAATATAGCTATTAATGTTAAATTAACATGAAATAGGAAAATTAAGAAGGGATTGTAACATAAGGATATTTTTATTGATCTAAAGGGAGATTTTATTGATATTGTATTATCAGGGTTGTATACTTTCACATGAATCAGTGCAGATTTGGAAGGGGAATGTGGTACTGTAAAGAGGAAAAATTGGTTAGATCTCCAGATGGTACTATGTGTATGTATGCACTTGTATTATTGTGTTGTCTTTGTGTTCCATGTTTTTATGGTTTCTCTGTGTAGCTGTGTTATACTACACAGCTCAGTGGTTTAGGTCTCTGGCTGCGGATGGTACTATGTGTGTGTATGCACGTGTATTATTGTGTTGTTTTTGTGTTCCATGTTTTTATGTTTTTTCTGTGTAGTTGTGTTATAGGTTTAGGTCTCTGGCTGCGGAGTTGGGGACTGGAACAATTCCCCACTGTCCCTCCTTGACAGAGTCTGGACTTGATATCCCTTAGGGTCCCTTCTAGCTCTGTAGTTTTCAGATGATGATGATGATTAAAAAGCTGGATAGCTCCATGGTTTAAATATGTGGCTGCAGAGTGAGAGGTTGCAAGTTCAATTCCCCACTGTGCCCTGCATGTAGAGCCAGCCTGTGTGGCCTTGGGCAAGCTGCACAGTCCCAGGACTGCCCCCAGAAGAAAGGAATGGTCAACCACTTTTGAGTATGTTCTACTTGGAAAGCCCTGAAAAGAGTTGCCATAAATCAGAATTGACCTGATGGCAAATGATAACTATTAAAGTGAGAGGTTGCAAGTTCAGTTCCCCACTGTGCCCTGCATGTAGAGCCAGCCTGTGTGGCCTTGGGCAAGCTGCACAGTCCCAGGACTGCCCCCAGAAGAAAGGAATGGTCAACCACTTTTGAGTATGTTCTACTTGGAAAGCCCTGAAAAGAGTTGCCATAAATCAGAATTGACCTGATGGCAAATGATAACTATTATAAAGATCTTTAATTTTTTAAAGGAAAATATGATTTAAGTTAGTGCAAATTTAAACCTATAAAATAAGCTTTCATGAAATAAAATATCATCAAGACAAGAAAGAAAAGCAGCTATCCAGCCAATAAACAGCTGACACAGGCTGGAATCCAGGAGGACAAATACTCAGAGGAATTGTTTTCACTAGGCTCTTTTCGGATATCCTCGCCAACATAGATATATTTGGCGTAAAACAAAGATTCGAGCCTTTTCTTGTTGGCAAGTGAATGATGACATGTTTTTCCCTTCCCTAAGAGGCTTTCCTAAGGTCTGTTTTGTCTTTGTTTTGCCACAAGGCAAAGATTTAAAGAAAATCTGAGGCATTTAAATATTTACATTTTTTTCTCTGCTCATTGATTTTATACTCTTTGGTCACTGCTGCTTTAATTGTGAATTCTTTTGTTTTTATTATATTATATGGTGTTGCATTATTGCCTGAACTACTTTGAATGACCTGTTGTATGGAAATTGTTGAGTTATAAGCTATAAATCTTTCACATAAATAAACAAGTTTTGTTGAGTTGCTACCTGCTACTCTGTCCCCAAGAAAATATGTTAGATGCTTGAGTTCCCCCCCCCTCCCAAAGCAGATGCATCAAGACCATTTTACTTGGGAGGATTTAGTTATGAAGACCTGCTCAGGACACAAAACTGCTTATTATTATCTCAATCCTCTTTTGAATCTTCTGGTTGGTGTCTTTTCCCAGAACTGGATAGAATACTTTGTTGAAACCTAATCACTTATCAGCAGTATGGTACCATGAATCCCTGTGTCTTAGCTTTGATTGCTGTAAAAGCAACTAAAGATGGCAATTGGGCAAACAATTGGATAGCTTCCCATAAAAATGTTAACAAGTCTGACTTTGGATCTGCCAAAGTGATTGCAACTTTCTTAAGACTATGTGTGTCTAGGGTTAGTAATAAGAACGATCAATGACAAATCCACAAAAAGGGCTTATTATCTTGCAATGACATGTGGAGAGATAGATGAAATAGGATAAAAAGACCCACCTGCTGTTCATGTTGAGACACAATCAAGTGCAGATGGCTGTAAAATGCTAGCGCTGCAAGAAATTACAGAGCTATTGTGCCCCATAAGTTTCTGAGGATGAAGCATAATGATAGATTCCTTTTCATTATGCACAATATAGAATTGGTTCATTTTTTCAAAGCTGCGTAATATGTATCATCACCTTATATATGTCATCTGTATAATGCTGCCTAATATATATAATCAGGCAGGCTTTCAAATGTACTTACTGTAAAAGAGTTATACCGAGTATTGACCTTGAAAAACTCTTCTCTCCAAATATATAGCATAGTGAGGTGGTTAAAAAGCCCAGCTATTCCAGCTTTCTACAGGGCACAGCCAAATGGTCAGGTCAAACGGAACATGCTTCTAAATCATCTGAAAGATGTAAAGGGGATTTAGTTCCTTTAATGTCCTGTCTCTTTCCAGCCCTGAGTGTCCCTTGCAGTGTGGGTGTGACACAAGGTGTGAAAAATGCAGTCTGAAGGCCACATACAGCCCCCAGAGCACCAAAGGCATCCCTCAGTAGCCCATTCTTTAAAAGAACCACTAAAAAATGGCACCAAGAGCCCCCTCTTGTCTTCTAGATCAGAGGTCGTCAACCCCCGGGCCGCGTGTGGCCTGAGCCGGAACGGGCTGTGGAGACGGACCCCCTGCCGCCCCCACATGCACTCCCCTCCCCACAGCTGCTTTGCATGTGCGCCAGTGTGAGTGCACCCCTGCCCCTTCACACATGCACCTGAGTGCCCGCGTGAAGGGGTGGGCGGGCACGCAGGTGGGCATACAGGGGCTCCTGTACATGCGTGAAGGGGTGGGGAGCACTCATGCCAGTGCTGGTGGGCTTGTGTGCTCCCCTTCTGTTTTGCGCATGTGCCCAAGAATGCACACACGCCTGAGCACACCCACACGAGCACGGGGGGTGCCCCACCTTCCATGCCTGAGCACACCCACACGAGCACGAGGGGGGGGTGCCCTGCCTTCCTCAGAGGCTCAGCTGGTCCATGGTCCCAAAAAGGTTGCAGACCGCTGCCCTAGATCAGTGGTTCCCGAACTTGGTTAGCCATATGTTCTTGGACTAAAGCTCCCAGAAGCCTTCACCACTAACTGTGCCAAGGTTTCTGGGAGTTGTAGCCCAAAGATATCTAGGGACCTAAGTTTGGGAACCATTGTCAGATGACCTTGAAACATATAAATGTTCTTCTGAGAAAAAAAAAGTGGACTTTTTGTTCCTATTTTCATAGGAGTCAGGTTCTGGTGGTTGGTGGGATTATGATATGAAAGGCTGAGAACCACTCTACTACTCTACACTGGCATGTGCCCGAGATGGATAGATTCAGTATAAGATAACTGTTCTGGATTTTGAATCCACAAAAAGAGAAGGGCAGGGTAGAAATTAAAGAATTAAATAAAAAAATTATGATAGTCCAAAAGGCTGTGTAGCTTTTTGTTAACTCAAATACATCCCACCCATGCTCCTTATTTTGATCAGCTATTCATTGGCACACTCCACCAACGATCAGCCCCTGAAAATGCTCCATGCTCATGAGACACCCAAGGCAAAGCCACAGTTCATAGAGGCATTTGCTGAATGAAAAAAATAAAAAGAACATTAGAAACATAGGAAGCTGATATATACCAAGCCATACCTCTGGTCCATTTAGCTTGGTACTGTACTGTACTTAGCACTGAAGGTGAGGATAGTGGTCATATCAAGCCATACCTCTGGTCCATTTAGCTCGGTACTTAGCACTGAAGGTGAGGATAGTGGTTGTTAGCCTTTCATTTCTTACATCCTAGCTTAGCACTGCTCCAACCTGGCACCCTCCAGAAGGGTTGGACTACAGTGCCCATCATCTAGCAGAGCCATTGGTCCAATGTTTCAAGCAGGAGTCTTTCCTTGCCCTACCTCGACATCTCTAGGATTAAACCTGGGACCTTCTGTGCGAAAAGCATATATTTAATTTCAGAGCTGCATCCCTCTTGTATACATTGTCCCAGGCTCTTAAGAAGAGCCTCGTGGTGCAGTGGTTAAACTGCTGCACAGCAGCCAAAACTGTGCTCTCAACCTGGGGTTCAATCCCAGGTAGCCGGCTCAAGGTTGACTCAGCCTCCTGTCCTTCCGAGGTCGGTAAAATGAGTACCCAGCTCGCTGAAGGGGGGGAGGCAATGTGTAGCCTGCATAATTAACTTGTTAACCGCCCAGAGAGTGCTTGAAGCACTATGGGGCGGTGTACTGTATAAGCAGCATGTTTTGCTTTTTTGCTTTTATACCTTCATGCTAGGAATTGTTTAAAAGGAGCAGTTCTCAAAAAGATATAAGATGTGAGTACGGTTACATGTTCTGTATGGAGAATGCATTTGTAATTTTACTGATGTATCTGTTTCCAAGCTGAAGGTCAAAGTATTGCTAAGGTTGAAATGATGGGTTTGGGAAAACACCATTAAAATTTGGATTTTCCTGCCCATTTGAACAGCCTCCATCCCTGTAACTCTACTGTTCATTCAGTGCAGAAGATAATGTATAACAGGGACCAACTCTGATTATAGTTATCTGTTTCCTTTTATTCATTTATTCCAATATATCTAAACTGTCCTTCATCAGAATACAGCACGGCAGTGAATAATTAAAAATGCTATAAATCACCTTGCAGCTTTGGAATACAATAAAAGGGGAAATGCAATCATACAGTAAAATTTAAAGGCAGTGAAAAGATGTCAGAATACAGCGACTGACTTAAAATGCCTTGATCAACAGAAACATTATTTTATTATTATTTTCAATTGCATCTTGTCAAGTCAGTTCTGACTTATATTGACCCCTTTTCAGGGTTTTCCAGGTACACAGAAGTAGTTTATGATTCCCTTCTGGGTACATCCTGGGACTGTGCAGCCTGCACAGTGGGGAGTCAAACTGCCAACATCTGGCCATGCGACCAGATGCCTAAACCACTGAGCTATACAACCACCTGAAATGCTCTAACCAGACATAACCTGATTACAAAAACTATAATTTCCCCCTCTTTTAGACAGAAACTTTGCCTGCAGATTTTAGGGACAGATCATAAACAGGTCTTGAGACTGTGTAGTCTCAGTCTTGTTTTTTAATTTTCTTTTGCCTTTTAATATCATCTCACTGTTAAAAGGAATTTTACAAATGAAATATTTCTCCTGTGATTTGCATTCCATGCTGTAGTCCTAGTCCTTTGCATTTTCATTTGTCTTTAGTCAGTAATGAGAATAATCAGTCCTTGTCTATTTTCTGTGTACAGGAGACAGCTATGCCTCTTCTCAGACTTCAGTTGTGATGTGTTGTAATAAGATTAAAAGGACATGAACATGGATTCCTGCATTGTAGGGTGCAATGAGACACCCTTAATTCTTGTTGCATTCTAGATGTTACAGATTCTGGCTTCTGGTTTTCCTCTGTTCATTCTTGCTATTTTACATGCATGATGATGATACTTATCTCATTTGGTCTCTATTATTCCAGCCTGTCTCTTATCTAAAACCAAGCAGTACTATACAGGGAGCATAGTGAGATAAAGCGCTTATGTCTTGTTTTCAGAATGGGAACTCTTGCTTTTAATATTGTCCATATTTGGGATCATGCCATAAGCAACAAAATTTCCTTTGCAATAAAAGGAAAAAAAAAGTTGTATCTTTATATGAACTGGATGTAAATTTAGCTCAGCTGAAAATGATGTGAGTTGACTTATCTTTATTTATTTATTTTTAAAAGCTTATATACCAACTCTTAAAACATAAACTTTAAAGCATCTGGCAAAATAAATATCCTATAATGTACATGAAAGCATATAGAGCAGGTAGGGACCCTAAACAAACATCATTAATGGAGCCACTGTAATATAGTGATGAGAACTCTGGGGTGAGACCTTAAGAGAATTAGGTTCTAGTCCTCACTGAGTGGAGAATCTTGGACTGTCTTTCTCAGATTACCAACTGCAGTGGGTCATGGGGAAGACAGTGAGCTGGAGCTCACTGGAAAACAAGACAGAATACAGATGTAACTAACTAACTGGCTAACCAAATAAGAAAAGGGTGTTAGGATGCCAGGAGGACCAATGCAAGAGTAATTGGTAAAACCAGTAAACCAAAAAGAACAATTTTTAACAATGTAAGCCAAGAGGATACTCAACCAAAACATTCTTACATATAATGACATACAGTACTGTATAAAGCAAATATTTCATTTTCAGCACCATGGTCAGCTCCATGGCTAATATAATTTATCTACCATTCACATATTTTGGTACCACATTCAGTAAGCCTTAATTATAATGACTGTTGTTCATTCTCTGGTTCGTCTGTGTTTACACATATGCAATCAGCTTGAAAATACTTCATCTACATCCATACATGCAATTATAAATGTAATCAGTTTAAAATACAGCTGTGTGGGCCCAGGTCTACGTGGCAAGCTGTTCTCCAAAGTTTGGTCTCTATAAGAACAACATAGTTACAAACTACATGGATTTTTAAAATATCAGTTTTACATTTAAATTTTGAGTGATTCTGTTGCATTTTATACATCCTTTATTCATATTAAATTCTCTATCTCTCTCCCTCCCCTCCTGTACTGTACCTCATTACTGATTTAGAAACAATGCTGTAATTGGCTATGACATGTGAGCCTGAACTGTTCCTTTTCTTGATCTGTTGATCTTGATCTCTGCACTTTGCTTCCTTTTGCCTTCCTTTTTAATTTTGTGGTTTTCAGAGCATAATAGACAGCAGATTATTGGAATGAAGTTTGCCCTGAAGTTTTGAGATGGGCTACCACCAATCCACTTAGACCACAAGCCACCTATGTACAATTCCATGACATGTGAGCCTGAACTGTTCCTTTTCTTGATCTGTTGATCTTGATCTCTGCACTTTGCTTCCTTTTGCCTTCCTTTTTAATTTTGTGGTTTTCAGAGCATAATAGACAGCAGATTATTGGAATGAAGTTTGCCCTGAAGTTTTGAGATGGGCTACCACCAATCCACTTAGACCACAAGCCACCTATGTACAATTCCTTCCTTCCTTCCTTCCTTCTTATAAAACTAAAATCAGTAAGTATATGGATACTAAAAAGGACCAAATAAAAACACACTAATATATGGTAAACAAAAGCAACAAACAAAACCAAAAACACATTAAGGCACAACAGTTCATTTAGCAAACCCCACTCAGCCCAGTACTAAAGAAAAGCTTACCTGAAGAGAAAGATCTTTGTCTGCTTGCAGAAGGACAGCAAAGATGGAGCCAGCCTGGCCTGCTGTGGGAGAGAGTTCCAAAGTCTGGAAGCAGCAACAGAGAAGGTGCTCTCCTATGTCCCCACCAAACACACCTGTGATCATGAGGGGATTGAGATAAAGGCCTCTCCTGATGATCCAAACACCCATGCAGGCTCATAAAGAGGCATGGTCCTTGAGATAGCCTGGGGCCCACGTCCTGTAGGGCTTTATAAATTAGAACCAGCATATTGAATTCTGTCTGAAAATGGGAAGCAGCCAGTGGACAGTGGAAATGCTGCTGCATTTTAGACCTGCTGAAGTTTCCTGACACTTTCCAGAGGCAGCCCCACATAGAGCATGTTACAGCAATCCAGCCTGTTTCTGAGTGAAAGTGAAAAATATATATATATATATTTCATGGAAAATGAAACCAAAGGCTCCAAAACCAGGCATACTAAATAGTGTGTGTTCCTTCTGCTGTTCATTAGCATAATCTGACTCCAGGATCTCAGAAACCAGAAAGTTCACAGTTCAATGTCTAAACCTCCTTTGGTTTTGGAGGATATATATATATATATACACTGTTTTACTTATTTATTTTATTGTAGTGTTGATTATATTTATATATAAATTTTGTGCCTACAGTTTGTATTATGCCTCCAAAATTAGTTTAATTAAGTTTATTTACTGTCCATGACAAGAATTTGGCTCAACAGGCAGCAGTTGAGCCAAATTCTGTTTCAGTCCTGGCAATAGGAGAATCTAATTCACTGTACCTGCAGCAGGACATTACTTCACTCTGCCTAACATTAAAGCCAGCCCTAGTAGTTGGATAGAAAAGTTGAAGACAAGAGAGAAATGGAATATGTCATGCTAGTTACCTGCAAAAATGCTGCGATTTATTTATTTTAAGTGAAATTAACTAAAAGTGTCAAGGACCTATGCTCAACTGATGACTTTGTGGGTAGTTTTTATGAACCATGATTGACCTCATATATAATGCAATTATTTCCTTAAATTAAATCCTTTTCATAAAATACAACAGAATAAATCATCTATGGAAATAAGGATGTAGGCAGATGGACCAGAGGGGATCTTGAACCCTGTTCTTCATCAGTTAGGATTCAATTAGGATTAAGCTGGAAAAAAGTTGACATTAAGAAGCATTTTGGTTGAGTTTTGTTCATAATATCACTTTATGGCCACAAGTGTCCTATTAAAGATAACAGGTTGTATCTTTTGACAGTTGTTCAATGTCTTGTCTCCAGGCTGGGGAAAGTTTGCACGCTTAACACGTGCTCTCACAAGCAGTCGGGGAGTTCTGCAGCAGCTGGCTCCAAGCGTGCAGAAGGGAGAAAATGTTCACAAGCATTCCCGGCTCGCTGAGGTAATATTTCCTTTATCTTCCATTTGACTATGAGGGTACAGCACTAAACTGGTGGTGTTTTAACAATGATATTATTTATGTATTTATTTATGCGTGTGTTTATGATATTATTTATGTATTTACTTTTACATCTATATCCCACCTTTCCTCCAATATCCTCATAATGACCCTGTGAGGTAGGATAGTCTATGAGAAGGCTCCAGGTCAGCTATATGCTGCATGATCAAACAGGAATTTGAAAACAAGTTTCCCAACCCCTCGTCCAACACTCTAACCATTACACACTTATAGGTGTAGCCATCCTTCAGTCACAAGAGACTATGATAACGGTCCAACACTCTAACCATTACACACTTACAGGTGTAGCCATCCTTCAGTCACAAGAGATTATGGTAACGTGCTCTGAATAGAGGACCTGGAACAGCATCTACTGTGGATGAGAAGGCCAATTCGAGAGTGATAATTCCTTCCAAACTGAAGATAAATACAGTCTGTTCCCTGTCCAGCTCCCTGATTTTGCTGGCTTCAGGACTGCCTCTTTGACTCAGCCTGCTGGACAAGGGTCTCTTCAAAATGCGAGAGGCCATGCTGTACTGCCTGCCTCCAGGGTGAACGCTCAGATGCCAAAGTTTCCCATCTGTTGAGGTCCTTTGGAATCTGACCCTCAGCCATTCTCACGACATGCCCAAGCCAACATAGATGTTGCTGTTTCACTAATGTATACCTGCTAAAAATTCCAGATCATTCTAGGACTACTCTATTTGGAACTTTATCTTGCCAGGTGATACCAAAAATGTAAAAGTGCATGGTGCAGGGTTATTGATCTGCTTGTCGGCTTTCACCCTAAACCCCATGCACCCTATGAAGTTAGCAGACTGTGGCGAGGCAGCACCTTACTGGCCAGGGGCTGCCCAACTTAAGGCGGGTGCTAGCTAACTAGTGAGGTGCAGTGACCTCTCCCACCATCGGAAGTAGCCCCTGGCATCATGCTCTATGCTAATCGAGCAAAGACTTACAGTATAACCGGTAACTGCTACTTCCGGTGTTGTTTTGACGCTGTACGCAAAGCTGGAGTGTCCTCTCCAGAGCACATAGCCTGGGTAAAATAATATGGAGGATAGACTGTTACCCAAGCAGAAAACCCCCCTTTCCATGTCACTGAAGGAGTCCAATGGAAAGTCAAGAGCCAATACAACTGGTTCCAGTGATGTCACAGGAGTTGCCAGAACGTCACGAACTGCCTCCGGGACTGGCTCCGGATTTTGCCTCGAGGTTTACTCCTGAAGCCTTTTCCATCAGTGGATATAGCCACAAGGCAGTGGACGTTTGAAATTGGAGTTTTCGTTCTCCTAGATGAGCTGCCTTCCATGGCTGACGAGCCCCACCTACCCAGCATTACACATTGACTGTCTGCTTATTAGAGGTTAGCTTAGGGTAAATTGACTGAATTTCTTTCCTGTATCTTTTTTGTTTTTTTTATTTGTTTGTTTTGTTTCTGGAGTTGTTTTTCTTTCCTGATGAAGGTGGCAAACAAAGAAAACTTGACCTGAATAGCTGGGATGCTTGCTGCTTTGTGGTCTTGAGTCAAACTAGTAAAGGAATTGCCCTAGTATGACTTTGGGAAGGTTTCTTGTGGCCAACAGATCTTTCTTTGTTTCTTGAAAAGGTGGTCAGCCCGGGCTCATCATTTTGCTCACCCTAGCCACAGCTCCATTTGCCTTCTGCCTCAGGTTTCGCCTGAACCTTGGCGCTGCAGCGGTGCCAGGGCTGTCTGACCGCAGTGGTCTTTCTGCAGTTGTGTGACTTCAGGGGCACTTTGCTGAAAAGGCTAATGCCACTTAGGGGACAGTCTCTTTTATCCACCTCTAAGCTGGAGGGAAGAGTTAGGGATGATTGCAGGGAAGCTTCTCAAGCTCTTCTCTACCTCCACACACTTGACACTTAAGAGAAGGGCTAGATATTATGCCTCACTTCAGGTAGCTGCACAGGGCATGGAGAGTCAGCGGTTCCTCAACTGAACCAACACCCTGGTCTATGGAACTTTTTTACATGCATCTACACATTTCCTTTCTCTGTGGGGTAGTGTTTCCTCGGGGACCTTGATTTCTACATCATAAACCTTGGTCCCCTATTCCTCCAAGGCATCATTCCAAAATCCCCTTTTCTCCTCATTCCCCTGTCTGGACTGTTTTCTTTCTCATCTCCCCTCTCAATGCCTCCTTTATATCCTCAAACTGCCCTCCTCTTCTCCAATTCCCTGGTTCTCCTTGTTCATTTCCCACCTTTTTAAAAACCATTTCTGGACTCTCCCCAGTTCTTTTGGTCCTCCACATCCACTCTGGCTTCTACCTCCCTCTGGTGGTCATATAGCATCACAGCTTCTTCCAGATCCACCGGGGAACTTGAGATATACTGCTGGACCTGGGGAGGAGTGGGACCGTTGGTCCACAGGGATAGCTGCACCACGGGCCTCAGGCTGACAGTGTGACATAGCCTCGTATGCAGAATTTTGTTTTTAAGTAATGTTACTCATTACAGAAAGCTATCTGTTGACATTATGTGTTCCTGTATTGAAAATTTATATTAATTGTTGCACTGCTCATTACTTTTCTTGAACTTCTTGTTACTTTTGCATGGAAAATGTAAGATTGGTAAAAGAAAAAAAAAACATCCTGGCAAACACACATCTAAAATATATATATTTAAATGCCCCTCAAAATTGAATGTGAAGATAATTACTTTCTATTACTATTTCAAGAAAATAACTTTGTTTCTACCTGTTACATTGCTTTGGAAATGTGATTGCTTTACCCTTTTTGCCCCCAAAATGACTAGCTATAGGTAGCCACTTGTTGCCTATTACACATGACTGCTGTCATGCAGCAGATGTGGTTTTTGCTCTGTGTAGTTCTATCTGCTCAGAGTCCTCCACAGGCAACAATGAAATGAATGGTTTTCTGTCGCCTTGCACAGGAAAAGACAAGTTCTTGAAGAAGAAAAAAAGGGCAAATCTGGTAAAGATATAGGTGTGTAAGATTATGGGCTAGATGTCTGAACTTTGAAAAAGCACGACTTGGTTAATTATTGCATTAATATGTTGTTTCCCTCTTAGGCAGAAAGTTAAAAAAATCGATGCCATTTGATAGAGTAATAAATATTCATAGCAGGTTAAAATAATGGATGCATGTCCTATTATCATATTTATAATGCTTGGCCTCGGAAGTCAAATATTCCTTCTATCTCTGCCCTTGATTTACACAGAAAAGTGATGTGTTGTGTAGTAATATGTTGTGTAGTAATATTAAACTTTTTTTTAAAAAAATGAAGTTATTTTTAAAAATAATATTGAATTTCTATGAAAGATGTTTCTTAATTAAAAACAAACAATAGTGATTTATTTTTATATATTTTGCTTGAAATTATGTCAAAAGATGGTGCTACCTAGATTTCCCCATGTAGGTTCATGGAGAATTCAATGTGTGGTCCCTGTTGAATGTATCAGAAAATTCCTTTTTGCCCCTTTGGGACTTTCACATGATGCCAGCAATGCATTTTTGTCCTGTGGTCTGGCTAGAGGAGTATCTAATCACTACATGCTGTCAAGTCAATTTTGACTTATGGCAACCCCTTCCAGGAGTTTGTAGGTAGAGAATATACAGGTTTATCATACCCTTCTTTGTGGGGGTTGTGCAGCTTGCCCATGACTACATGGGGAATTGAACCCCTGGCTCTGCAGCCAGATACCTAAACCAGTCAGCTATCCAGCCAGCTAGAGGACTATACAGTGTGATTGCTACTAAATCCCTTATATCAGAATAACCCCAGCTTATCCAGGATAGGAAAGCTACAACAGCATAATGGCCTCTGACTGCCTTGCTCTTCTCCACTGAGGATGCTTCCTATAAGCTCATTCTTATAGTGAACAATGTTCCTTGCTCTTTATTTTTGTTTCTTGTGCACCACGGGCAGCTTATGACTTCACATCTCTTCCTCCTTGAAAATCTGGGGTGAGGAAAAGCTTCCTCCTTGCATGAGTTTGTGTCCATAACCACTCACTGTTGTGCAACTGGAGTTGTTTGTGTGGAATGGCTGCCATCACAGCAGTGCTACCGCTTCTTATGGGAGAATCCCATAGCCGGTAGATTCTGTTTGCAGTCCCCCTAAGTACTGGCCTGTGGACTTGGCTTGCTGTTGTGACTGGAACGACAGTTTCCCCTTTCCTGGCAATTGTTCTGGCAGATGTTTTGGTTTGGTTTGTTTGTGTTTTGGCTTGCTGTATTGCAGAGATGGGGAAGATTTGGTTCTTCAGATGTTTGACTACAACTCCCGCAGTTCTGTATCACAGGCCATACTAGACAGGACTTCTTTATGTTTAGGTCTAAGCCAAAAAGAGCAGGAATGGGTAAAATGTGGCTTTCTAGATGCTTCTGGCCTGGAGCAACAAACATTCCTCACCACTAGCTACGCTGACTGGGACAGTAGGCCCGAATGGTCTGGAAGGCCGCATTTTGCCCATCCCTGATTCTACATGCCAAATCACTCTCACTCACTCACTCACTCCCTCACTCACTCACTCGCTTGCTCGCTCGCTCGCTCACTCACGCACTCACTCACTCACTCACTCCCTCACTCACTCACTCACTCACGCACTCGCTCACTCGCGCACTCACGCACTCACTCACAGAGTATTTGGTTCAGTCTCCTGCTTGAGGAGAGCCCTGGAGCTTGTGGAAGCAAGCATGGGTTAGAAGGCTGTGACATCAGCTGTGCTTGGAAAAGTACTTCAGGCCTTTAATAAAAAATATGCATATGCATTTTGTGTGGAAGACATTACAGACTAGCTTCTGTGATATCATGGCATCTTCACCTTCACTAATGGTTTGATAGATGTATTTCATTCATGAGTAATACACAGCCATTGTTAGTGAGTGATTAGAGTGCTATGAACAAGATCATGGCATCTTCACCTTCGCTAATGGTTGATAGATGTATTTCATTTA